GAGAATGAGAAGGGAGAAGGGAGAGGAGCTCTAAAGAGGTGTTTGAGAGCTTCACCCCTTGGGGTGTGTTTGAAGACTTGGGGAACCTCACTATTTATAAGCCTAGGGTTAGGTTTTTCAGATTATACAATTGAGTTCACTAACTACACCCACTTCACCTAGCACACAATTGAATTTGAAAACAATTATTCTTCTCTTTAGGCTTAGTGCTGCAGCTCCCACTTCATCTTCTTTTCTTTCTTTTGGCTACTGCAAAACTCCACTCCAATTATAAGTAATGAATCTGCTTCACCTAATTTCCCCACAATCAATAACACCTCATGCTTAGGTCAGAATGACCAAGCACACTTAGTTCATCCTTAGGTCAGCATGACCTGTAACTTCAAGGGCTCACAAATTGGGATTCCCTTAAGCAAATGACGACTTTGAGACCTTCATCTTGAATTTCAGAATGTCATCTTTCCAACCATATGTCATTTGGGCCAATCCAAGGCCAGAGGAAGAAGTTAAGGCCAAAACAAATTGCTAACTCATTTGGCAGCGTACACAAACTTCATCCAGAGCATGGTTCTGTGTTTGATGGGTGACGAACCCCAGCTTTGTCCAATGGTTCTTCATTTTGGATATGTTATAATAGACACCCATTGGAACAACTTCCATGAAGGATGTTGCCTCATCCAAGCTGTGTAGGTTGTTGAAAATAGGCATGCACTGTGACCTACAAAACTGGACTGACAAGGGAGTGCAGCCAAAAATGGATTTGTCTTTAAGATCTTCTTCCATTCAAACAAGTGAGGCCTTAACATGCTTGAATTGCATGAATTATGCTCTTTTACTCTATTAGCCTAAAAAACACACAAAGAGAGGCAAATGACTCAGAATTCTAACAAACTAAGTAAAATGAGTAAGTAAATAAGGCACATATGTATGAAATTATGAGCTTAACAAAACCCAACATGGATGGAGGGTTGCATTTCCCCATATTTTCGCAAGAGCCATGAAATCATTTCCCAAACATGGACTTACTAAAGTCAACTGAGTCTAGTACAATGGGAAATGGCCTTGACTTGCAAACCCCTATGACACCTTAATAATGTGTGAGAAACCTCCTTCCCCCTTTTAGTTTAGACTATCATTTGTATAAATAAATAAAAATTGTACTTATCAAACATGGGAAAATAAATTATTTCCCATTCCCAATCCCCTTTTCCTGCCATCCAAATGAGTGGAAGTTTATGGTAAGGGTGTAATCGTAAGCCAAGCAAGTTTTTGTTTTTATTTTTTGCTAATATTGTCACATCATTAGGCTTGATTTTCCGACGGAATGGATCAGAGTGAGGGGATTCCAATTCCCAAAATGATTTTTTTTGAAAATATTCGGAAAGTAGTTCAAAATTTTAAACATGCCCAACCATTTGAAAGGTTAAAATTGACTCATAATTGAAAACTCGTACCGAAAGTTCTAAAACTATTATATGCTAGTATTTAGATATTGTTATCCTTTAGGTTGTGTTTGGATGAGGGATTTTGAAGTGAGGTGATTTCAAGATAATGAGATTTTAAGGTGAGACACTTCAAAATGATTGGATTAATAAATTCTTTGTTTGGCTAATTATTTTGTTGGTGGGATTTGATTGGGTAATTTCTTGTAAACATAAGAATTTTTTTTCCCTTTTTCTTAGTTGTTCCTTTTATATATATATATATATATACCTTTTTTTAGTTGTTTTTTTTCTCATTCAAACACTACATATCATTTTACATAGAGTCATTTGAAATTAAAAAAATGTAATTAATAATATATAATTGGAACTAAGCCTTTGCTTGAAATCCCTCCCACAAATCCCTCATCCAAACAGGCCGTTAAAGTACAAATTGTCTATGTCTATCTGGTCATTAAATCATATTTAGTTCAACATGAAATTAGTCATTGTGTGTATTCTAAATTTGAAACCCCAATATATTTTAGAATGTGGAATTTTTTGAAATCTTGAGATACATTCCAATTCCATATCTTATTTTTTTTTTTTTTTTTTTTTTTTTTTTTTAACGGATGTTGGAATTGATTTGAACTTGCCAAAATTGGAAATTTTCGGATCGGAAGCATTTGTAATCAGAATTTCCAATCCAACTTGCACCCCTCATGTATCTTGGCGTACATTTATTGTGAGCTACCTTCAGTTTTCTTAAGGATTAGGGCCCCGCATTAACAAAAGAAAAAAACATGTTTGGTAGATACTTTTTTTATTTTTAGTTTCTTTTAACAAAGTGAGGGTTTTTTTTTTTGCCAACGAAATTTAGCCTAGTAGAGAAGGGTCTTGACTAGTGGTCTCAAGTTAGAACTACTATGACACCTTAGTAGTGCATGTGAACAACCCTCATAAAACAAAATAAAAAAAATCATGATATTTTTTGAAACTTCATGAGACCTAGGTTCGAATTGCGACTCAGACATGGGCCTGAACTCAAGTTCTACGACCTAAACATGGGACCTAATTGCGATAACCCAACATAGGATAAAGTAGAAGCCTAGTCTGAGAGAACCTAGTGTTTATTGAAGATAAAATCTTAGTGCCCTTTTGATAACCATTTCAATTTTAATTTTTAGTTTTCAAGTTCCATTTTTTGTTCTAGAGTATAGAGGAAAAAAAAAGAGAATGGAAGTGAGAATGAGAGTGGATATGAGATTGAGAGGGAAGATGCGAGGGGAAGATGGGGAGGAGTAGCAAAAGTGAAAACAAAAACAAAAATCTAAAATTTATTTGAAATTGTTTTCACTTTCAAGTTTTTGTTTTCACCTTCATTTCCTCTAAACTCTAGCACAAAAAATGAAAACAAAAAATGAAAATTGAAATGGTTATCAAACGGACCTTTAGTTTTTGGATTTCTAGTTTTGAAGACATTAGTATGTTGCCTCTTTTTATTTATCAATGTTCAAACCAGGCTATGATTCCAAGTTAGACAATATGGGGTAAAATTTCATATTGTACTCTTCTCCACAATGAAGGCAATTTATGGAGGTTACAAGAATGTTTTACAAGTAAATCTTCCTAGACAAGGAATCCTATTTACACCATGAATAAAAAAGGAAACAAACTAAAAATAAAATCCCTAAAAATAAGTAACCTAAATTAATAAGGAACACGGCCGAACTTGTCAAGCAACTTAAGAAAAACACTAGTATAGACAGTTTTGATAAGAATATCTATCAACTGATCTTCTTATGTCATAAATGGAAAAACAATTATTCCAACATCCAATTTTTCTTTAATAAATTGTTGGTCAATCTTCATATACTTCGTACAATCATGTTGCACAGGATTATGAGCAATCTCAATAGCAGCCTAATATCACAATACAAACTCTTAGGTTTCTCAGGTTCAAACCCAAGATCTCTCATCAATGTTTTCAACCAAAGCAATTCACATATCTGTTGTGACATGCCATGAAACTCGACTTCAACACTTGACCTAGCCACACCACTTTTGTTTTTTTACTCCTCCGAGTAACAAGATAACAACCAACAAAGGTAAAATACCCAAAAGTAGAATGCATGCTAGTAACTGAACCTGCCTAAACTACATCTGTATACCCTTCCACATCCACATGACCATACTTAGAGAAGACTAAACCCTTGCAAGGAGTTACCTTCAAGTATCTCAAAATACGCATAACAACACCCATATGATCAAGACTTGGTGAATGTATAAATTGACTTACCACATTAATTGCATATGCTATATCAGGACATGTATGAGCCAAATAAATCAATTCCCCTACAAGCCTATGATAACACTCCTTATCCACAAGAACTTGATTAGGATACAACCCCAACTTATGATTCTATTCACTAGGAGTGTCAATTGGTTTATAATCTAACATACCAATCTCTGCAAGAAAATCTAAAACATACTTTCTTTGGGATAGAAAAATACAATTTTTAGATCTAGCAACCTCAATCACAAGATAGTACTTTAATTCACCCAATGATTTCATCTGAAATTTAGAAGTCAAATACTTTTGAAGGAACTGCATTTCTTCCTGATCATCTCAAGGTACTATCATATCATCAACATAAATAATTAAAGCTGTCAAATTTTTTCATAGATGCAGCAAACCTTCCAAACTATGCTCTCAGATATTGCTTCAAACCATATAAGGATTTTCACAGTTTGCACACGACACCTTCCTTGGAAGTCACAGGAATACCAGGAGGAAGATTGTCACACTCCGATCCGGAAATAAAGAAAATTCCCGAATCATGGTGGGTGAATTGAATGAAATAAAATAAAAAGAGTGAAAAATTGGTTAAAATACACAATCCAAATCATATCACATCATTACTTTATATATCTTGGTTATTCTTCACAAATTGTACCCAGCACGTGACCCCTATCGGCATCATTCCCTATGCCCCCGTCACTGAAGTTCTCATGTTCCAAAATAGCATGTACTTCACAAAAATTCCATGATAATATATATATATATATATTGGAAGATAGAGAGAGATTTGTAAATAAAGAGAGAGATTTGTAAATAAAAAAATCCATGATAATTCATTATTTTCACATTTATCACAAAATAAGAACTTTTAAAACACATTACATAACTCACTCACTATGATAATTATAATTATAAAATCTTGTTCAGTGCTTAATGCTGGAAATGGGGATTGCTATAAATTTCTATTTATTTTAACTTCAGGTAAGTCCATTTCCGTGCTAATTGGCCGAGTCTGCTTTTGTTTGTCTAGCTGAAGTGAAGGGGCTTCCGGAGCCAGGAGTTTTCAGAAGGATAAAGCAAGACACGTGGCAACAACCCATTTGGCAAAACATTTCTGTCGATAAGGAATGGATGATGCTTTTGTTCTAAGAAGCACATTCTCATTTCACTTAGGACTTTAAACCAAGCCAGAATTCAGTTCTGTCACATACTGCAAGTCAGATTGAGAGGCAAAAAACAAAAGCAAGAAAAAAGATAAACCAACCAAATTTGCAGAGATGGCTTCCATGACTATGGCAGCCTCCTTCCTCACTGGCTCAGCCTCAACCATCACCAAACCTTCTACAGCTCGCAGGAGTCTCATTGTGGCCAAGGCTTCAAGTGCCCCAGAAGGAGAGAAGGGCAGCTTGGAAATGAAGAAGAGCAGCAGCAGCAGCAGTGGGAGGAGGGATCTGATGTTTGCTGCTGCAGCTGCGGCTGCATGCTCCATAGCCAAGGCTGCCATGGCCGATGAGCCAAAGCGTGGGACAAAAGAAGCCAAGGAGAAGTATGCTCCTGTTTGTGTCACGATGCCTACTGCTCGTATCTGCCGCAACTGATGAGGGATCAGTTTTATGATCATTTGCTTTGATTCAGTCACTTATGGTGGCTGTAATGTAAAATTTGTAGAACTTGTATGTTCTTTGTATCTTTTCTTGGGACAATCTATTAATTAATCTGGCTTCTTCCTCTTCTTATTCTATAAATTCTTGAAAATTTCCAATGGGATTTAAGTTTTTCTTATGTTGCTATTGCCCAAGAGGACCTAACTCCATAAAACATAGCCCAATTTATGGGTGAATCATTCAAACTCTCGTGTTACATGTGTAATTGCGATACTACGGGCTTTCCAATTTCAACCGTTAACAACTTTCATGTCCTAGCGTTTTAGAATGAACATCCAACTCAAATTCAATTTAAATGGACTCAAATTTTCCAAGTTTATTTTTTCTCTACCTAGAATTTCTAAAGTTTAATCTTTATAAATCCAAAGAAGGAAATTAGTAGGTCAATTTAAGGTTGAACTCTAGCATTATTGCAAAGAAAAGAATGCTTTGATCAAAGGAAATTTATGGTTGAACTCGCGTTTTTTCGTTACCTTCTTTAATTACTTGTTGAAAGATACTCTTTAAACATATATTTGAAAAGAAAGAAAAAACATTCGATTTTTTCTTTCTTTTATTTATTTTCAAAATGACAAAGATGATTATTGATTGAAAATAGGAACACCATATCTAAGACAGAAAGAAGCCAATCAGGAGCAAAAGATTCCCATACACACAAAAAAAAACCAGTAAGTTGTGATAATTTCGATTTTTTCCTTCATTGTAGATTCTTTCCTAGTTTCAAATAAGGAAGACAAAATAAACTTCTAAGACAATTGCTTTCGATGATCACATCAAAACATGTATAGAAAGCCTTGCTATTTTCACTCCAATTCGTCTCTCTCTTATCCCTTTGACCTACGTGCCTAAATTTCACTCCAAAGAAAGAAGAATAGTTTCCCGTATTCCATAATTTGATAGGGAAACAAAGTTTTATTGTTTCCAATTATATCAAAAACACGTGCAGAAGAAAGCCTGCTTTAATTATTATTTTATATATCCACAAATTATAAAATGAAAACATTCCACAATCCTACATTTTGTTGACTTAGAAGGCACCCCAAAAAAAAAAGGGAAACCTTTGGATTCATGGGCAACCTAGCCGTGGCCATCCTATATAAATGCCTTGTTCTTCCCTTGGGGGTATTCGATCACAAGTCCACAACAACTCACAACTCAACTCTTCTTTCAGTGATTTAGTCGGATCAAGAAGACACGTACGTTTCATATCTAAAAACCAAACCATTCATGGGACGCAGGAAGATAGATATGGAGATGGAGGCCACCATCTCAAAGCGCCGCAAGGGTTTGTTTGGCGAAGCCACCGACCTTGACTCCTCCTCCTCGTCTGGTTTTAAGATGGCTGTTATCGTCTTTTCCCCAGCCAACAAGCCCTATGTATACGGTCACCCCTCCGCGGTCGCTGTCATATATCGTTTTCTTGGAGAACAAGATGACGATGACGAAGATGATGACGATGACGAAGATGATGATGAAGATGATGACGATGACGATGACGATGCCGATGACGATGACGATGATGACGATGATGACGACGATGATGATGATGATGATGAAGATGATGAAGATGATGATGGTGTTGTTATTGATGAAGATTTAGAAGCCAATCAAGAGAAAGAAGAGAAAGCAGTGCAAGATGGTATAGATGAGCATGCGGGAGTGGATGAACTAGATAAAAAAATAGCTACCCTAAAACATTTCATAAAGATACTGGATTTGAAGATAGATCATGAGATGAAGAGGAAAGACTCTTGCACCAAGGATAATAATTCATTGATTGCTTCTTCTAGCGAAGAAAGAGATCAATCTGATAATTAGGATCTGTTTAGGTTCTGAAAGGCGACTACAAAACACTTACAATAATTTTTTTTGACATTCTTCTAATAAAAGCACTTTTAGAAAAAGCGCTTATAAGCATTACTGTGCATCCTATAAAAGCAGTCCAAACTGGTTGTACTCTGATTTTAATTTCCTTTTTTCTTGGATTTTGTTTAGGGTTTCGTCAAGCCTTTTGTTCTTTTCAAATAGAGATTATTTTATTTTTATATTCCTTCTGGGCTTCTTCTTCAAGCCTTTTAGATAATAATTGTATCTTATATATTTTATCTTCGAATGAGAACTATTCATTTACATTGTTCGGGAAATCTAATCCCCTCAATACTTTTTTAAATTTGTCCAAGCAATTGCAACTAGCTACTGATTTATATTATCCAAGTCTTTTTGTTTTTGCTTTTATTTTCTCAAGTAATGGATATCGCAGCAAACAAGTTCATCATGTGTTGAGTTGGTGATCAAATCCCTCCTTCCCTTTGTACATGGGCCAAGGATGATTCTAGAAAGTATTGCATTTTAATTAACATATGCTAATGAAAGTTATATTGAAGAAAAGGTTACAATAAGTGAGGGAAAACAAAAGTATAAATTCATTAATGAAGATTACAAAATTATCCTTAAAATCCCGATACCAAAGAAGAAAATCAAAGGAGAAGATTGGACGCGTAACAAAAGGACCAAAGCTTCCTTTCGAGATGATCGCTGAGATTTTGAGTTGGCTAACTGTAGACGCTTTGCTGAGAGTGAAGTCTGCCTCCAAGAAATGGTGTGCTTTGATTGAAGACCATCACCACATTGTGAAGCATATGAATCTGGCTAGTCCTCTGCCAATAAAATGTAGATACGGAAGGTACCATGGCCAAATACCCCCTTCTTCACAATAAAAATATCTGGTGTATGTCCCGTGTAACCGGCTTGTTTGTCGAGAAGCATCATACTTTTACTGTTTGCCGCATCACAAATCCAGCCATCAGCTGTGCCCATGACTTCACCTAATGCACATTTTGGGTGTGTGTAGAATGAAATGTGCTTTTGTTTCATTGACTGGTGAGGCCAAATTGGTATGTGCTTGCATCCACAATGATGAAGTGGGATTTGAAGTTATGAGTATTGGACAAGATGGGAAATGGAGAGCCTTGAAACACCCAATCCAAGGCTGCTTGAAGAAAAATGGCAAATGGGCAACAAGAAGCCAATTTTCCTAACTGATAAGGTTCATGATAGGGTTTGTTTTTTTTTCTGAAATTATAACAGGTGGGCAAGCCTCGTGTGTCTCAGGGGAATGAGACCAGACGAGAGGGTGCGACTTAAATTAAGAATTAATGAGGATTGATTAGAGCAATTGCAATTTACAACAGTTTCAATACTTCGGTTGTTTATGACTGAAATTATGTTCTTTCTGTTCTTCCTCAGATGATGTACATCATACGATGTCAGAATTGTGCAAGGTCGGAGGCTATGGATTCGAGTACCATAAAATCAAATCCAGGAAGTTAGGAAACATAGAGCTCGCGAAAGCTGCCACAAAAAGCACGTTCATCCGGAACCTAGAACGCTTCCTAACATATGATCCTCTCATGATAATCTAAATACCCAAAAACTACAATTTTATTAAGAAAATATAATAATTAAGGAACAGTACTTTTGCCGCAAATAGGATACACAATCCAAACTAATTATACAAACTCAGGGTTCAAGAAAAATTAAATGACGCAAAACCTCGATACAGAATAATACCAAATCCAGTATCCTATTTGTTCCTTCGGTTACCGAAAAGTAACAGCTTGGAGAGAGAATCAGGGGCATTGTTCCTCATTCACCTTGGCCACTCTGCCAGGGGGCAACACTGCAAGTTCATAAGTTGATTCACCTTTGCACGCTCATTCGCTTTTCCCATTTTTCTGGGAACCAACAAAATTGCGAATGACTTCCATGGCTAACTGATGAGCAGTCTTATCCTGCTGCTTTGCAAGTTCATCCACCGCTTCATACGTCTCCTTATCAGCAAAAAGCTTCAAGTTGTAACGAGCTGGTGCCACCTCTGGACCTTCCCATTTGTCAACCAACTCATGAAGTTTCTCAAATCCCTGATACAATTTACCAATTAGGGTCACAACCATAGCTATCAGCCATTCCAATGACCGACAAAATTTCTTAACATACCCATGTAAACTCCCCAAATTTGAGATTAAACCAACTTCTTTATCTGGGACAGGCCTAAATATAACACAATAATCTTAGAATCTTATTTCACCCCTTACCATGCGGTTTGTGTAGCCTCCGAAGGACTCTTTAGATTGTCGTTTACGTCTCCAATAATAAAATAAAGGTTCCAAAACTTTTTCCAGGTCTTGAATCTTGACCTTGTTCATGAAGCTTCTTGCTATTGAGGTTTGATTGGGTGTTCCTCCAAGCCAGATCTATATTAACACAAGCAAAAAAAACGAATAAAATATGAGTTGCTTTCACGACAATCTGCATTTGAGCATGAGAAAAATTGCACATGAACCAGCATTTGAAATACCTGATAGCTATTGGGACCATCACCAACTAGTCCAAGTTCAGCCATGTATGGCCTAGCACATCCATTAGCACAGCCAGTCACCCTTATAACTACAGATTCATTGTATTTCAGACCAACCTGAAATTCAAAAGTTATACTTGTTACATGCATTCTGATTCCTTATCCACACATGATCTTGATTTTCCACATTTTATTAGTTAGTGTTTCGTGGAACATGCTTGTTATTATGGTAATACCTTCTCAAATACTGATCGAACCCGCTTAAGGATGTCAGGTATACCCCGTTCAGCTTCAGTTATTGCCAGTGGGCATAGTGGGAAGGCTGGGCATGCCATTGCAGTTAGGTTGAGGGGGTCTACGAACCTAGGATGCTGCCACAATCGGAACTGGTCAGTAATATCCCCAATGATGAAAATTCATAACCTAAAAAATGTTTTTATCATAGACACAACCCAAACAGTTAAAGAAATTTATGACCAAATAAGTTAACCAATAATTGTTTGCATAAGTCCTGACCACTATCTGAGTTTAAGAGATTCAAACTGACAAAAAGGAGGATATCCCTTGAGATCATGTGAAGCCTACATGATTTCCCCCACTAGATCCTATGAGAAAATAATTTTCAGCCTAGATTCCACACTAGATTACTGCAAAAAGCAGTAGAAACATCACCATCTAATGCAGATAAATCATAGCACCATTTCCAGACAGACAGCATCTCAGTTGAATAAGATACTCCGTCCTACTAAGTTGAAAAGTTTCACTTCGCAGTGAAAGATATTTCACAGAATAGGAAGTAAGCATCCAGTAACCTCAAGTTCATATTGATGTCTGATGATGAGGGAGTAAAAGAAAAACATCTTACCAGCAGACCAGCCTTCGCAAGAATTGTGGTGATGGGACGTTTCCATGCAGTGCGAATATCACACAATATGATGTTCTGGTTTGGTGTGAGCCTTATGCTCAAATTATACTTTTCTATAACCTCTCTCAATGCCTTCTTCATAACTCCACCAATACGACCATTATCAACATGAAGCCCGCAATAATAACTGCCATCACCCTACCAAAACAAATATAAAAAGTCAGGACATACATCTGGGGAGAAAGGAACTGGAAGATGGAATGGGGCCAATAAACTAGGCATCAGTGTAAACAGTATGATCTACTAGAGTTATAAATCAAATAGGCCATACATAAGACTGAAGATATTGCAATTTCAAACCTTGGAGACAGAATAAAAAACATCAAAAATTGTATGTCAAAATCACCGCAACAAACCTGCTTGTTCCACCCCAAGTGACTTTTGAATTCCCATTCTGGCAACTCGCGGAATTGCTCAAATTTCTTTCCATAATATTGTTCAACTACACTTCTGAACTTTTCAATGCCCCACGAGCTGATCAAATATTTCATTCTACTATACTTTCGATCATCTCTTCTCCCATTTTCTCTTTGTGTAACAACTATAGCTTTAATTGCATATAGGATATCCTCTTTGGGGACATAACCCAGTGGTTCAGCCAAACGGGGAAAAGTGGTTTCCAACCTATGCGTTCTTCCCATACCACCACCAACCTGCAATGCAAATTATAAGAAACCATATTTGTGGAGAAAATGAGCTCAAATGTAAATGTTAGAGAAGAACTTCATCTTACATATAGGTTGAACCCTTGAGGCTCCCCCTCATCATTAGTAACAACCACAACACCGATATCATTTGTGAGAATATCCACTGAGTTGTCTGTTGGCACTGTAACTGCAATTTTAAACTTCCTGGGTAAGAACTGAGTTCCATAAATGGGCTCGGGTGAATCAGTGAAGTTTGTTCCATGAGAATTATCATTGCGGGCCTTAGTTACTTCAGGAGGTTCTGCTGTCAAGAACTTCTCTCCATCCACCCATACATCATAGTAAAAACCAGACTGAGGAGTCAGCAGTGCTGCAATGTTCTCTGCAGTCTGCTGTGCGAAAAGGTAATCTTTTCTTTGTATTGGAGCAGGAGGAGCAAGAACATTTCTGTTAAGATCACCACAGGCGCCTAGGGTTGAACTCATGCTATTAATGATGCTACTCATTACAGTCTTAAGGTCCTTTTTCAGAACACCATGGAGCTGAAACGTTTGTCTGGTGGTCAAACGAAGGGTACCAATTCCGAACTGATCGGCAAGATCATCCATGGTCAAGTATAGTTGGTTTGACACTTTTCCACAAGGGTTCTTTGTACGAAGCATAAATGAGTAGGACCTTCCACCACGTTCATCTCGGTTGTATTGTTGATAGCTCCCATGGAACTTGATGAGTTGTGTAGCAGCCTCATTTATATTCGGGGCATCTGTCAAAATCTCCTCGTTAAGAGGGTATCTTATGTAATTGCTCTGTTCTTTGAATATTTCAACCTTACTTCGCTTCGTTTCAGTTGCAGTTTCAGGCTTACAGGCTGCAATACACAGAAACTATTCAAACGAGTACTTTTCCTTCCAAGAACTCACAATAGGCAATCTAACTAACATTCAGAATTTTCTGATTCATGAGGCCCTTTAGGAGCCTTAGTATTCCAAAATTGTAGGTTTCCTAACCAAACCAAGTGATAAAAGTCAATAAAGCACAATAGCCCTTTGGCAACAAAAATGTTCAGGTTTTTAAGCGAGAATCAAATAATCCTTTTAAAAATGATAATAATAAATAAATAAAGAAAGAGAAACCAACTTCTTTCACAATGACTCTGGCAGATATTAATAAAAGCAAATTGAAATAACGCAGTCTAAACTCGTTTATCACAGCCACGCTTTCCTTCACCATAATCCAAACAGAAAAACCAACATAAATGAGAGCCAATCAGCAAAAAAATTAAAACAAAGTGCTTATATTTTTTCTCAATCTCTCACCATAACACATAAAAGAAGGTTAATTTTATCATCTTTCTTTTACTTTTTCATTTTCTCGCATTTTCTGAGCATCCAAACAGATCAATCTCTCCGAAACAAAACAGAGAATCAGACGGTAATTAAACGCACCGTGGCGACGGCGCGAATGAGCGAAGAAGAAGCTGACGAGATCCGCGCGTGTCGGCTTCTGGTGAGACCACGCCAGTTTGCTGACCTCAGCCCATGATACCTAGCAATCTGAGCCTTGGGCTCCCCCAGCACCGCCGTGTTCGCAGATCCGAACGGCGTCGTCGTCGTCATACCAATGAAAACGACAGCGTTTTCACGAGGTTGAAGATAGAGAAGCAGCAGAAGAGAATTGAGTAAGTGGGATTGAGTGGTGAAGAGTGAGCGGGTTGAAGCAAAAAGAGGGGAAAAAAAAAAGATGCTTTTTCTTTTTTCTATTTTCTTTTTTTAATTTCGCCCTTCAAAGTTTTATAGTGTTTTATTTTTATGTTTTTTTAATTTTGTCGTACCCGCTTACGTTGCAATGTCACATCCCTGCCACGGGAATTTCGAAGTCTGTGCCGATCTGTTACGCGCTGAGCGCGGAGGAGTAGGACGCGTGGAGTTAATCTGAGAAGCATGTGGCGAAAGCAAAGTTGGATACCGGATCTGGAGGAGGGGATGTCGCTTTACCATTTTATCCATTTACCATGTGGGCTGCTGGTTTCCTATACTAAAAAATAGCCGAAAAATAAATTAGATATAAAGAGTTAGATGCGTGTGGGGCTTTATTGGTTCTTTTGGTTCATGGATGAGAGCTGCAAGTCGGCTTCAGTTTTTTTTTTCTCGCAGCTGTTACAATGGTCAATGGTCAATGGTCAATGGTCAATATTCGATTACTATTAAAGCCCAAGTCATAATTTGGCTCAATATGACTTAAATCTTGGTCGTGTAAAAAAGGGCTCAAACATAACTTTAACCGATAAGCCTTTTTGTAGTGCAAAAAAAGACAACATTAAAGTAAAATGCACAGTTAACGTAATTGCTCCATTTATAAGATGCAAGTTCTTATTATGGGTGGGCATTGAAACCGCAAAACTGTAAAACCGAACCAAATTAATCTGAAAACAACAAAAAAAAACCGTGTTGACCTGAAAAGTCAAAAACTGAGACAAATTCAAATTGAACCAGTTCAGACTGATTCCAGTTCCGGTTTTCCTTCCTAAAGAATCGGTCCAATCGGAATCGGTCCAATAAAATTAATTTATATTGTATATATATATATATTTTATATATAGTTTAATATGTTTTTTATTGGTTGTCTACAAAACAAAGGATAAACAATAAAGAATACAAAAAAGAGGAAACAGGGAGAGAAGAGAAAAGCAAAGGAAAAGAAAAATAAAGAATACAAAAAAGAGGAGAGAGAACATTGGTACAATCAATTCTATACTATTTTAATGCCCAACTTGGAAACCATTGGGCAGAGAAACGTGATTGAAAAGCAAGTTGGGTGGGAATTCATGGTGTTGATGTCTTGGGCAGAAAGAAGTGAACGGCTCTTTTTTATGTTCTTATGAAATCTTTCAAACTTTTGTTTTGTTTATTCCTCTCATGAAATCTTTCAAACTTTTGTTTTGTTTATTCCTCTCATTTCTCTCTCTTCTCTAAGTATTCTCTCACTTTTCTCTGATTTTTTCTTTCTTTCCTCTTATTCTCTCTCATTCTTTCTTTAGGTCATCTCCAGTCATAGGACTAAATGTAGTACAAGATTAAAAATTTAGCCCTCTAAAATATTAATTTTTTAAAGAATAGTGTAGGACTAATTTTTCCATCTCCAGTTATGCAGGGCTATATTTTAGGGTCCTTCATATTTTATTATTTTGAGAAAAACTATGGTACAACACATACATTCCACAACTATGTATTGTTTAATTTAATTAAACTACTATTTAGAGACAATATTCCATGACCAAGAATTTTTTATAATTTTTTTAAACAACACTTAAAACCTTTGACTACAATTTTTTTTTTAAAGGATGGGTTTCAATAGTTTGACATCCAATGATCATGACCAATAATTTTTTTACGAATTGAAAACATTTAAAAAGGCTTTAAAATAAATATATATATATATATCAAGCTGTCATCATCATGAAAAGCACATGCATGGAGCCCACAACAAATTTGGCCTAGGACTAGGCCAAAGCTGGGCTAAATGTGGCCCGATTGGAGGGCTAAATGGCCAGATGTGGTCCAATTGGAGGGTTAAATGGCCAAATATGGCCCTCCAAATTTGGCCAAAATTTTGTTTAGCCCATGACTGGAGATGGGTTTTGCATTATTTTAAGGCTATATTTGGGATATAGCTCATGGCTGGAGATAACCTTACTCTCTTCTCGCTCACTGATTCTTTCTTCCTCTCTTCTTGCTCCGATTCTTTCTTTTATCTCCTCTCATCTCATTTATTCTTTCTCATTGATTATTACTTCCTCGCTTTCTATTATTATTTTTATTTCTTTATTTCTTTATTTCTTTATTTTATTTCTTACTAGATTTTTATTTCTTCTTCTCTTTTCTCCTCTCCTCTTTGTTTGATATCTTTTTTGTTTCTTACTCTCCTTTGGTGCATCGATTGGATCTACTTGCTAGATAGTTTTTGTAGTATCTTGTAAGATTCAGATATGGTTTTCTTGTATGGATTTGGCGATTCACATTGCTTTGTGTAAAAATGTCAAATAGGCCAAAGAGCCGGTTCAAAGCATGAAAAATCAAAACCGAACCGGACCTAAACTGGTTCCGGTTGGTCCAGTTTTCTTTGGCATTTTTGTTAAAATTCAAATCGGACCGGACCGGTGAACAGTATTGGTTTCCGTTTCAATTTTGCTTAAGAACCGGTCCAAACCAGACCATGCCCAGACCTAGTTCTTATGTTGTAGAAAACTTGTTGGGACTTCAATGTACCATCCATATAATCAACCAATGAGTCATCTGCCTAACAATTTAACTATAGAGATTATTTTTACTAACCACTTTACACAAGAATGTAAAGATGTTTAGCACGTGAATAATAGTTTCATTATCACTTGATATAGCAATTAACAAATGGATAAAATCAATATTCCCGTTCAACAAAAAAGAATTAATATTCTCCAAAAGGTGGCTAGAAAAAAGCAAACTACATAAAACACGAATTTAAGCAATTAGAAAATTCATTATAGCTTCCAAGTTCTAAGGACACTCATATCCTGTGCTTTAAAACAATATGTAGAAAAATAACTCTGCAAATATGGGGGTCGTACATTATTCCTTCACAATGTTCTCATGCCATACAAACGAAATATCGCATAGATATAATAAAACTATGACAACTTTATTCCAACAAACATATCTTAGCAGCTTTTTGATTCAGATCATTTGCATTACATGCCTTTTTGTAGTCTATCTTTGATTGGAAACAAAATCTCAATTGCATGTAAATGATATGCCCACTAACAAACAGATTCTCATTCTATATACATGAAGAGACTAGACTAGAGAGTTTGAAAATACTAGAGTTGAGCTTTGAGTTGATTTCAAACATGAATCCGCTTATCACCGTAACTGCAATTCTAGATCAACCACACTCCGCATACTCTCAAGTAGATAGACTCCATATAATTTCTGATGTTCTAAATTTTGTGGGCATCAATTATTGTATGAGTATATCGGCACAAAGTAGCTTGACTAATGAACATGGCCGACAAGTCATTGTGCACCTGCAGGGATGCCTAGTGGTGGACGAAGAACCATTGGCTATAGTTCCTTTGGGGATCAACTTGGTTGATGATTATCCACACACAGCCCAATGGTCTATATACCCTTGAACCACGACTACTGCATTGTCTAGCCACACCCCCACCTACAAAGACCCTCTAGCTTCGTTAGAGATGTTGACTACATGGTTCATTGGCAATATCCTAATTCCAACCTTTGTGAACTTGCTGATGTTCTCAAGAATCTATTTCGTAGTCAAACACCAATAGTACGAAAGCGGAGTATTGCCATTGCAGGGCCATATTTACAAACGAGTGTGATTGTCCTCGTCCTTCTGATTTGGTACATAGTCAAAAAAATTTCTCTTTATGTATGTTCTTTTGCTTTAATTCCCAACTTCAATAGAAAAAACAGAGAAACAGATATTTAGTTTGAAATTAAAGCAAAAAAATAGACATAAGAGCAAAAATTTTGACTATGTACCAAATCAGAAGGACAAGGACAATCACACTCGTCTATAAACATGGCCCTGCTATGGCAATACTCCGACTTTCGTACTATTTGTGTTTGACTACGAAACAGATTCTTGAGAATATCAGCAAGTTCACAAAGGTTGGAATTAAGGTATTGCCAATGAACCATATAGTCAACATTTCTAACGACGCTAGAGGGTCTTTGTAGGTGGGGGTGTGGCTGGACAATGCAAGAGTCGTGGTTCAAGGGTATACAGACCATTATGGATGTATGTGGATAATCATCAACTAAGTCGATCCCCAAATGAACTATAGCCAATGGTTCTTCGTTCACCACTAGGTATCCCTATAGGTGCACAATGACTTGTCGGCCATGTTCATTAGTCAAGCTACTTTGTGCCGATATACTCATACAATAATTGATGCCACAAAATTTAGAACATCAGAAATCATATGGAGTCTATCTACTTGGGAGTACGCAGAGCGTGGTTGATCTAGAATTGCACTTACGGTGATAAGCAGATTCATGTTGAAGATATTTTAGCATAGCTGCATAGGGGAATCCTCAGCATCAAGTACTGCAGTGCGTTTTAGCATAGGGGAATCCTAAACAAACAATAGTTCTTTCTGTTATTAGAAGTTATTTTAGCACTTGTACAACAAACTCTTAAGTAAAATGTGTGTCAAAATGAAAAATAAAATAAAATAAAAGCATAAAGATGATTAACTTACAGAACTGACCAAAGTTGAATATGCAAAATCAGATGCTCCAAAGTTGACACCATCAAAAACAAATGCCAAGGCATTGATGGGTTGAGTAGCTGCAACAAACTGATATGAATTGGAAGACAGTTAGTTCAAAATGTCATTTGGGATCGAAGAAATGTAACCTGAAATATTGTGTTGTTTTTTGGAGAGAAAGGGGCTCACCGGAATGCCTATGCTGATAAGATGTAGGACATCGACATCTTTTGTAAATAGCCTTGCCCCATACTGCAACCCTACTCCAAGTATGACTGCAAGCATCAACCCCAAAACCAATCCCAACTGCGGTTCAAATGTATTTATGAATTTTTGGAGAAACCAACCTCACATGGAACACATATTTGACACTTCAGAAATATTAGTAAACACCTGTAACACTCGTGACGCTGTGGATGATGCCTTGTCGTAGTCTTTTTTTGCAAATGCACTAGCAAGTATTGCCTGAAAGTGGGAAGGGATTATAACCTATTCAGTCCATAGAAAAGAAACGGAAACACTGAAATAAATGTCATACACATACACAAAATAGGGGCTGTTAAAATAAGTTGTTTTATTGATTTAAAAACCATTCACTGCAGCAAGATTTGAGCTTAGGAAAGTTCAATTCAGTTTCACAAAAAATTTAAGAAGAATTTAATTGCTGATCAAACAATGTGCTTCTGTGATTTTCATCTTCTTGGCCTCTGTCTTAAAGTACAGGGAAGAAATTATCTCAAAACTAATTTGGTGTATCATTGCAGTAGTTTCATTTATTAAAGTAATGTTTTCCAACCTGTCCAGCAACAGCCAGTCCATCAGCTAGAAGGGAAGTTGCCAACCAAACCTGCAAGCAGACCTGAAATGCCGCCATGGGTGTCGGTCCCTGCCGCGCAGCCAATGATGCAGCCAGAGTTACACAGAATGTAACAGCAATGACCCTCATTAATAAAAGAAAACCTGGAGTGAAGAAAGGAAATGGGGTATCAACTAATTCATGCTACTCTCTCTCAACATGTACTGAAATTTATTCAGATATAAATATAAATTAGAAAGAACTTGCTATTTCAATCATGTTAGTAAATACTTCAGTGGATGTTATTCAAATTTCCTATGCTATATTCTCAGCATTTTAAAGTTATTCTTCCGACGTTTTCTGCTCACTAAAACCAAGGCCTAAGGAGTATAGCTCCTCAGAACAAAAGCAAAGTTCTAGATTGTATAAAACATGCATGAAAGTGTCACCACTGCCTATTAAAGAATTAAATCCTCACCATTTTTAAGAAACCGTCTGAATTGGAGATGTTTGATACTTGGGGGTAATAGATCAACTTGAGCCATTAATCTCCACAAGAGTATGACACATATTAAGTACCTATAATTAACATATCAATGATAAGAGGCACGCTGGTACACAGAGTGCAGAATTCTAGAAAAACCCACAAGAGGACCAAAAACAAATGGAGATGAGTTCAATAAAACTTAGTGAGATATAACATGAGAAATAGCTGCACCATTGACACCCAGACGGAAAACAAACATAAATATTGGATCTAAAATTATATTTTTAACATCTCCTGCCACTAGATTAAAACAGACAATTGATTAGAACACGATCAAGACTATTTATTTGAAAAAGATGGCATCGAATCTAAGGTGCAGCTTCATTAAGGTATACCGGTTGCATATAAAGGAGTTTTGTATCCTTGAACCCACGGAAGACCCCTTGCATAGCCAGTGAAAGAAGAACTGCAGGAGCACCAAACGACCTCAGGATCAAGTACTGCTGTGCAGGTTTTAGCATAGGGGAATCCTAAACAAACAATAGTTCTTTCTGTTCTTAGAAGTTATAGTAGTATTTCAGGGCTTGGTACAACAAACTCTTAAGTAAAATGTATGTCAAAATGAAAAATAAAATAAAATAAAATAAAAGCACAAAGATGATTAACTTACAGAACTGACCCCCATAAAGTTCAATAGAGGTTTTGCGGCTGATATGAGGAATATGGCTTGGATGAGGCCAAGGATGCTGCCAATAACCATTGCTGATGACGCTGACGGGATGTACCTCTTTTGATGATTGGTTGTAACTATTTCAAAGCTTGCACCAACTGGTTTGTATGCATTCTGATCAGTACCTGACAAAGAAAATGGAAGAAGAAAAAACTATCATGTAAGAAGTTTTCATAAACCAGTAAAAGAATATCTTGTAATGAAGAGGAAAACTTGATGAAATCATATTCTATAAGTCTCTACAGAATGCATACTGAGTTTATTGTGGAAAAAAGATGTAGCACTGTAACCAGAAAAAAAAAAGGCATGACGCATACCCCTTTCTGGGATCAACTGTCTAGTTTCACCATTGATTGATGGACCTGTTTCCAGGTAATCATTCTGGTTTTCCTCGGGACTTGCTGTTCCAATAGCATCTTCTTCAGCAACAAAAGAGGTTGTGACACTAACAAGAGGGAATATTGCAATTCTTGATGCTTGATTGAACAAAGCGATAGAAACTCCTACAGCAGCAAGCTCCACTGGACCTTTAAACATTAAGACAACTTGGATATTAAATTTCCACAACTGTAAATTTTAACAAAGATACAAGGTTCAGCCACAAAATTTCATTTCAGATTGAAGACTAATATTTAGCATTTGGTAATTGGTCAACTTTTGAAGGATAGGGTTAAGAGATACATCCCTGTTAACCATTAGGCTATTAGTGGACTGTGAATGTGGATATGTTTACACATTGGCCTCTCATGTAGACACTATATTTCATTTTATCCCCATCCTTGTCATTTAAAGAAAGAAGCTTGAATTTTTTCAATAAAATTTGTTTTTGTTACCCAAAGCAAAAACAAAAAGTACTTGTTTCAGATGGAAGAACATATGCACAGTTCAAAATGAAAAGAATAAGAAGCAAAGTACCTATTTGACCAATGAATGCTGTGTCAACTAGAGAAGCAATTGGATCGGCTGTCAAAGCCAGTGCTGCAGGCAATGCAATCGACGCTATTTCTAAGCCAAGTTTGTCAAAATTAAAAACAAACCTGCCCATAGAAAAGACAATCCAAGCATTGGTTTTACACATCTATTCAAATCCAAGCATTGGTTGTCCAAAATTGCAATAAAAAAATATTTTGAATAATGGCTCTTGCAGGCAAAGACCACATAAATTCTGAACTGGTCTAGCTTGAATAATAAGGTTAGATTAGCCGATGGATGCGAGTAAAAGCTTTGTTGCTTATCGAAAATATATGCCATTGCTTGTCTGCTAAATTCAACAGAACCTTTTAACTATCAAACCAAACTAATCAGGAAAAAGAAATGAAAAGGCATAAAATAATCGAAATGATACCTGCAATCCTTGAATAAAATGTAGATTGGAGTTTTGCTTTTGTTCCCATTGGAATATGAATCATGTTCTTCAGCCATCAGTTAGATAGCTGATTTAACTAATCGGGTTTTAACTGGGACGGTTACTGAACTAGTTGTTTACAGACAAGAATCCACAAATTGTGCTGCAGCCCCTGCAGATTATATATAGTGTTAACTCGCAATTCTGTTGCTTGCAGACCCGAAGCATTCAACTCCAAAAACAAGATAACCATTTTCCAGAAGTGCCCAAAAATGATGAAATACAGAAGCAATTCAAACAGTATCAAGTATCCTTGCAGAGAATTAATAAAATTAGTTGGCTACACATATCAAACAGTTGACCACCAAATAAAGAATTGGGTTCAACAGTTGATATCCTAACTGAGAAACTTATAAAAGCTTTAGAAATTCAAATATCCACCATCAGAAGAAATCCTGGAGACAAAGAAGTACGTTTCACTTCAGCAGCAAGGCCAATGAAACAGTTTCAAAAGTACTTTCAAAACCAGACACTCAAAAGCAAAATCACTTAATATCTCAGCCTAGAAGAAAAATTAAACTCATGCAAAAACTTTAAAAAAAACTTGGGCTTGAAAATTAAAAGAACTCGTAAACATTTCAGCTTTTTGGCAAAGCTCAAAACCAATCAAGAAAAGACCCTCACCTTTCACTGGCGTGATCTTTATATCTTGCTAGCGTACACTCAAAATGGAATTTGGGTTTGAAACTTCAACTTCTGCTTTGGAAACTCCAACACCTATAATCCAAGAATAGCTTCATGTCCGAAGTCCATGAGAAGAAAAAGGTTTTTCCCCCTGGATTTGACAAGGACTTCCACAACAGAAACGCACCAACCACAGCCTATGACTAGTATTCCTGTGTGACAGAGAGAAGCTGTCAGACGCAGCTTGTTGCAACGTGATAGCATAATGATATCATTTACTGTAGTGGTCTTTAAATTGAAATGGACCTTAAGGTCAATGGTTTAACACTCACTGTGTTCCTTATCTTCTTTTTTTTAATATTCATGGTATTTTATTATTTGGGTTATTTTTGGGTGAGTTTATTTATTATTTAAGTTGGTGTTATTATTTTGATGAAATTTATGGCTTACATAATACATATATGAGCTTGATTTATTTAATGATGTTTTTGTTAGTTGGAATAAGTTTGGTGTGTTTTTAAATTATTATTTTTTTACATTGTTTCATTTTTTAAAAAAATCGAAACTTTAACATTATGACCCTATAGAGTAATAATCATGGATCCGTCATTTGCCAATGGGCATAATGGGAAGGCTAGGCATGCCAACTTTTATACTTATAACTCATGTTGGAAAAAATGGGACAAAAATTCATTACTTTTTTGTACCAAAAAGGAGGGGAGATGGACCATGGGACTTTAAAACGATTGTTTGATTGCATTATTGATATTTATATTTGTTTATTGGTTGTCCTTGGCTTGGGCAGATATATAGCATGAGGGAATCAACTTTGTGTAAGATTTTACACATAAAAGGAATTGCAGGAAAAGTAGAGAAAAATAGGACGACTTGTCATTTCTCATCTTTGTATAAAGAGTTCAAAATACAATTCCATGACTCTGACCGATGAGAGAGATACTTTATTTTACTTCATAGCAGAAGAAGCAGATCCGTGAGGAAGAAGCATTCCATTTCAGTAGAGTTGGGTTGGTTTATTAATTACTCATATGCCTCTTTGTCATTATTATCATGGATCAATGGATAACAAGTTATAATTTCCAATTAGTGGTCTAATTAGTCTATTAGTCTCCAATTTAGTGATGAAGAGTTGTATACAAATTTTCTATTTTATAATTGGAATTAAATTTTATATAATTTATTCACATAACCTAGGCCTCAGAGCATGTATAAGGAAGTATGTAAATACTATACCGCACGTGACTGCTAATCATATGTTCAAAATCCATAACTTTTTATCATCAATTAAATAGTGAACTTAAGTCTACGAATGTATTCTAGAAGAATTTGATGCAACTTTCTCCCAGGGATTATTACACTAATTAAAGATCAATTGAAGATTAAGTATCTCTAATCTTCTTATTAAGATGGATGTTGTAGTTGTTGTTTCCCTTGTTCAGCAAATTGGTACCTTAAGTTGTCACCCTCTTGCTGCGTTAATTCAGAGTTGTTGTGTTCTTATGAGGCGTATTGGCAACTGTCACCTTCCTCATGTTTACAAAGAAATGAATTTTGTAGCTGATTGTATGGCTAACTGGAGCTTTAACTTGGATTTGGGGATTTTGTTATTTGGATGAGGCTCCTATTTAGATTAGCTCTTTCTTGGTAGATGATTTATTAGGCACTATTAGGCCTCGTTTGATCTATATTAGTTAGTTGTCGTTTCTCTTTGGGGTTTTGCCACACAACCAGCCCCCCACCCCACCACTCACTCTCCATCATCAAAACAAAAAAAAAAAAAAAAAAAAAAAAAAAAAAAAGACAATGAAGTTGATGGGCAACCAGAGTTGGCAGGAGAAGTAGGGGAGAGGCAGCATTCACACCTTTGAGGAACTTTGATACCAAGTGCAAAGCCAAACACCCATTTCAAAATAAATTGGCAGCGGAGTTTTGCTCATCATGCTACAATTGCAACATATAAATAAATAAATAAAAACAAGTTCCTCAGCCAGTCTTAAAAAAATAAGCATACAAAACCAGACAGCATAAAGCTGCTATTTATGTTTTATAGTCCAGACAAATCAAACATTGATCTTTCTGTGTCTTAAAAATCCTACAAGTTCAATGGCCAAAATTAAAAATTCCAAGAGCACATTTAAGCAATTATAGACTTTAGACAATCCTTCTAGTGGAAAAGCCTTAATTCACATATTTACAACCACCTATTGAATTTGAGGTTGACAATAAGTTTCACCAACTTCCCTCTATAACTACTTTTTCCTTTTTCCTTTTTCCTGCAATTACCTCAAGAAAAAGAAAATTCCTAATCATAGCTATTGAAAAAGACGCTAAGATCCTCACTCTGATCCTCTCCACATTACAAGTTTTCTTAAGAAAAAGGAAAAAGAATGGGGAAACAGAAGAGAATTCATAAGCCCGCCAACAAAGAAAGGAATTTTTAACTTTTTAAACATAATTTAATTTCAAATAAATATTGGTTCAAAAAAGTAAAAAAGTAAAAAGAACAAAAGAATGTTGGTTCATCTACCCTCAGTGGCTAACTGTAAAGACCCTTCCCTCATCAACTTCAAGCTTATGCTGTTAAATCTTTCCCGTGAATATTGCCTGGATGCTTTTCTCCAATCTGTACCAGCCTTCATCATAGCAGCAAACTCCTCGTAACTTATGCGCCCATCCTACAAGATGATACAAGCAAGTTGCAGTTCAAGTTATCAATGATACATGCACAACACCAAATTTAAAAACATAACAAAACGAAATGGATACATACAAGCATAACTAGATAAAAACAATGATCCATGCAACATAACAAGAGTAATTAAAACATAATCTTACAAACTGAAGACATTTTGCTCAAGTCAACCCTTTTCATCAGGGTGATATTCAATCATTGATCAAAGAAAAACAAACAACAAAGCGGAATAAAAAAAGTGACAGAAGAAGAGGTGATCCTGCAGTTTGCATGACTGGCCTCATTTGTGTGTAATCGAAAGGAAAAAGTATACAATGATTCCAGAGAAGGAAGAGAATATGGAGTAACAGAACCAGACTGTTCTCAGGATAAGTATTTTTCACAATACTACAATTTCTAGCATCAATATGCAAGAAGATAAAGGAAAGTTAGCTAAGGGGAAATCTTGAAAGGAAGTCAAAAGTCCAGAAAGACTGTGAAAGTCTGAAATATGATATCATGATTCATAATTAGCATCAAAATAGAGCCTTCTAGTCATGTATGCTAAGATAAAATCTTTTGGATTAAGGATAAAACTTTTTGAAGTTAATTGTCTCAAAACTGTGATTCTAACCTTGTCTGTGTCCACATCATGCATAATCGCATGGATGACTTCCTCACCACCTGCGTCAACATCATCATTTAAAGCATTTCGCAATTCTTCAATTTCTATGAAACCACTTTGGTTTTGATCGAAGAATGCGAAAGCTTTATGTAGGTGATCATCATTGGCCATCCTCTTAAGGTGAACTGTAACTGCAACAAACTCTCCATAGTTCAGAGCTCCATCACCATCAACATCAGCCTGTAGGAATCAGAAATCAATCAGTTGATCAGTTCAAGAAATCCTAAAACTCATTGGGATACTCAACCCCCAGCCAGAACTTCTTTACATTCCTATTTTTAGCTGAATCCTTGCAACGAATATTGCAGCTCAGGTTTTAGTTTGCTTCTCAAGATTTAACATGATGTAGAGTTAGGCATATTATCATCCAACCCACGGTTAAAAGTAAGGACAAGTTGGCCAAGCACAAATTGATGCTTACAGCTTCCATTAGTATTTGAAGATCTGGATCAGGAATCTGCTGCCCAAGCTGTTGTACACCACTTCGAAGCTCTTCTATGGTTACTTTGCCCTTGTTGCCAGTGTCCATCATTTGAAATGCCTCTTTTATGCCAGCTACTTCCTCAACTGACAAATGCTCGGCTATAACCTATGTATAAAATATTCAAAAGTTCAGACATAGCATATAGGGCAACTTTCACACAAGATACAAGTAGCCAACATTTCTGTAACTATGGGGCATCAATAACTTCATAATGAAAAGTAAACTAAAAAACATTACCCCAAGGGCTCTTTTCTTCAGCTTGTTCATTATGGAAAATTGTTTCAGCCTTGCTCTCACAGTCTCACCAAGTGGGACATTTGGGGCCTTCTTGGCATTTTGTATCCAAGGATGATCTACACAGAAAGAGTTGGTAAGAACTTGTCATATAAGGCAATAAATCTTTCAATTGTATAAGATATCATATTTACCAAGCACTTCCTGGGCAGTCAGCCGCTTTTTTGGATCAGGATCAAGCATTTTCTTCACCAGGTCCTTCGCATTATCAGAAACTCTTGGCCAAGGATCCCTCTTGAAATCAATGACAGATCGAATAATTGCTTGTGCTACCCCTTGTTCAGTTTCTACAGGGAAAAAGTTTTGAAACTATGAGAAGCAAATACTAATAATATAAGGAAGTACACCATCAGGCACACTTTTGTTCAGGATGATCTCAATCAGAGATATTTGATAAGCAAAACATTCCAATGGGAGTATTTTTTTCTACATCCCTTTTCCACTTTAACTCCTATACAAATTGTAAAGAATCAAAATATAAATACTAGTAAAAGAGACAAACCTGCCCAGAAAGGTGGAACACCACAAAGTAAAATATACAGGATAACTCCAGCACTCCAGATGTCAACCTCGGGTCCATAATTGCGCTTCAGAACCTCTGGAGCCATGTAATATGGACTTCCAACTATCTCATTAAATTCCTCATCTGCAGAATATAGCAACCTTTAGCTGCACTATCATACACCAGATATAGAGATGATATAAGGATGCTAAAATATGAAGTTCAAGAATGGGGGAAAATTATTAAACAGGAAAAATGAAGCAGGGCAATACCAGGTTTAAAGAACACAGATAATCCAAAATCAATTGCTTTCAAAGGGGCTGTTTCCTTCTTATTTGCAAATAGAAAGTTCTCTGGTTTGAGATCGCGATGCATTACTCCATGTTTATGACACATCTGCAATGTAAAATGCAAGTAAATAAACCAGAGTATTTCATAATGACATCACAGGAGACTGGACATCATCATCCAGCAACAGAAAATCAATGAAGATCAAATAGAAGTGTCAGCAGCAGATAATTAATTTAACATGCACAGAAACTAGTTATGTGATAGTAGAGACAAGTATATTCAGTGCACAGGAACTAGTTATATTCTAGTAATAACATGGTCCAGCATATTATATTATCCAAATGTCCAAATAACCGGCATATCACCTAAACGAAATATAAGCCAATGAAAACAGAATGTAGAAACCAAAATCGTTGGCATAGTAAACTTACTTTCAACATCAACAACGAGAAACTCAAACCAATTAACAAAATACATAGCAGCACTGCATAGTGCTTATATAGAATATGAGGATGGAGGAAAACATTCAACTCACCAATTGTTTCTCAATTTACCATTTAAAGTTCATAGTGTAAATGATAAGAAGAAGAAGCATCACAAACTTATAACACAAACAAAACCAACATGTTATATAGCAACAACGTACTCTATCTCACATTTCCCCTAAACAAGAACATCACAATATAACACAAACCATATGACACTTTTATAACAATTCTAATGTAGAACATAATTATAAAATTTCAGAACCATATCCAAATTTAAACCAAATTAACACAACACTAGTAAAGCCAAATCTAACCTGAACAACTTCAACAATGGTCCTCATTACGCTTGCGGCAGCGCGTTCGGTGTAATGACCCCTAGCAACAATGCGGTCAAATAATTCGCCACCCTCACACAACTCCATGACAATGTGAACCGCTTCTTCATCCTCATAGGTGTCCTTCAATGTGACGATATTTGGGTGCGGAGGCAAATGCCTCATTATCTCAACTTCTCTCCGCACGTCTTCAATATCCACAGCGGTCCTCAGCTTCTTCTTCGATATCGATTTGCAGGCGAATTTTTCACCCGAGGAAGCCTCTGTGCAAAGATATGTGATTCCGAATTCACCTCGGCCGAGCTCGCGACCCAGATCGTATTGGACCGAAATGTCTCGACCCGTCGGTTCTTTCAAGACCCATAGCTTGCCCTCACCATCTTTTCCATTAATGCCACCAAAATCTGTAGCGAAGGGATTGGGTTTCTTCTTGTTTTTCTTCTGCTTGTTCTGGCCAGTTGTGCCAAGAGTTACGCAGCAATTTCCCATGAATCAGAGCCTCAAATATTTCAGAATTTCCAGTATTTTCTTCAGATTTCAAGAGGACCCAATTGAGCAGAAAGGTCAATAAATCGAAATCCTGTTCAGGAAATTAGAAAGAAATCAGACAATCATAATGACAAATCCAAAATGCAAGTCCCATAACATTTTCAGCTCCAAGCTTTTGTTTTGTCAGAAAGCAAATTTAGAAAGTGAGATTTTTTGTTTCTTCTAAATCTTAAATGCAGATTCTTTATAGAAACAAACCACAAATCAGTGAATCTTAAGAAATCGAAAAGAAAAAAAAACAGTTTACATAAAAGAAGACAAAAATGGAAGAGGTCCAAATTTCTATTCTTTTCAAAGGAAATGAAGGTAACATCAAAATGTTGGAGAACAACAAAGCTCACCTCTGTTTTTTTGTTTTTTTTTAAATAACGATTTTTGGGAATTCCAGGGAACTGAGAAGAGATTTTGCAGGATACCCAGATGAGATTTGGAGATGAAAGAGCTTAACCTAATTCTAGAAATGAATAATTTGGGGTTGAAGGTCAAGGATTTAGAAGGACAAATTGAAGGTGTGAATACGCCATGGATTTGCAGAGAGAGAGAGTCAAAGCTCTTGCACAGAGACTTCTGTTTCTCTCTCTAAATCCGTTCCTTCTCTTCTTTTTCTCTGTCTCTCTTTAAATCCAAACCTTTTTCTTTTGTTTGAGAGTCAACCATCAAAAGAAACAGAAAACAAACCTCCTCTTTCTCTTTCTCTTTCTCTTTCCCTTTTTCTTTTTTTCTTTTTCCCCTTTTTTTTTCTCTCTTCCCAAAATATCCAGCTAACCTTTCAAAGTTACAAGTCACAGATTCCCACAAATTTCATCAAACATATATATATATATATATATATATATATTACTTCAAAACTGTTTTTTTTTCCCTGGAAAAAGTGTTTTTATTTATTTATAAACTAATTCATTGCTAACTAATTGTAATTAGTGTAAACTAATTCCTTGCTAACTAAATGATTGTTAGTTTATTTTTAGTTTTGACAGTTGGGTTGCACCCAAGAGTTCAACCGAAGTTGGTTGTGGTTTCTAAAAACAAGAAAACCACCCTCTCCAAATATTTAGTAAAGCATGGTTGTATTGTGGACAGGGGGGAGATATGGATCATGTCATAATCCAATCCTTCCCAAACCTACTCAACTTTCTATAAAGTTGCCACGTGTCCAATAATAAATAATCCTAGGGCTACCAATAATTAATTTTTGTAGAGTCCACTCTCCCCCTATTGTTGGTGTATAGTCTGTTTTTTTTAGGTGAAAAAAATTATATGGTATTTGTTTATTAATTGCAATTGACAGGAGGGAATATATTCTTTGCAAAGATTTTATAGTAAATGTTCAGAGTGGTTGGGTTGGATTTTAGTGACGGCAATTTGGGTGGTAGGTTTGGTAGGACCGGTATCTAGAAGGAAAATACTTCCCTTCTTGCTATGCAAGTAGGACTTTATGTATTCCAGCAAATAGCAGTGTGATATATGTGTAAAAAGATTTCTTTTTATGATGAATTATTTTTATATATATGTCAAACTATGATTCGCAATAAGGATGAGTATCTCCTTATAAGAAGGTAAACAGTATCTTATGAGGAATCAAATGTTTTAAAATCTCAAAGTTTTTCTTTCTTTTGTAGATGAAACAATGTGAAATGTGTCATATATTTCTTGGAGGTTTGTGAATTTCAGGATTCCTGTCCTGCAGCTCACCCGATTTGAGAAAAAAGTGGATGGTAGGTAGAGGTCAAAGGTTTCATGGTTTAAGATATTTTGTATAAGTTTTGGATACCCAAAGTGAAATGTCATTGGCTTCACTTGAGTGGTGTGTGCGTTTCCCATTTCACTTCCTAACTTTGACAAAAGGAAAACTGTGTAAGGCATATTCTAGATATTTTTCAGTTGTGAGTGATGCACTATTTTAGTGAGGCACCAATAATGTCAGGAAAAAAAAAAGGACCAAATGTGATAATTTCGCAAATCTCAGGGACTATTTGTGATAAAATCTAAAATATTTAAAATATTGTTTAATCCACGTCAGCAATCTAATTGAAAATTTTGACGGAACGTGATGGCGGAACCAAATTGATGTGTGAGGTGTAACATAAATGACTAATAATGTCAACAACAAAAAAACATAAAGAACTAAAGGTGATAATTTGGCAAGCCTCATGGACCATTTGTGATAAATAAATAAAAAAAAGCTTGTTAGAAATATAACTTAATGAAAGCATAGAACGGAGAAAGACTTTTATGAAACAGGAATAACATTATTTTGTTATTTCCGGCCAATAAACATGCGTGATAACACTCCACATGGCATAGCATTATTAGCCGGCATAGCAAAATAGTATTATCCCTGTTGCAAATAAGTTTTTCTCCATAAAACAACATCGTGGCATAGTTGATTGCATGAAGATTGGCCCATGCGATAATCTCCTAAACTCAGGATAAAATCCGAAAAGAAAAAAGAAAATTCAGCAATCATGGCATAGTTGATTGCATGAAGATTTCAGAGGTCTAATTACCAACTTTTCATATTTATGTTTAGCAGAGATCTGCCTCTTTTTAAGAACCAAAACAACACAAAATCTGGAAAAATAAAATGAGAAATAAAATAAGTTTGTTTTTTTCTTTCTCAGAATTGTTTTTACATAAACTACATTTCTGTCAGAAAGTTGCCTTTACAAAACTCAAACCAGAACCTGTTTATTTGTTGAACATAAATTTCCTGCAGGGGCTCAAAACTGCTACTTTGGGATTTCTCTTTGAGCAATTGTGGTTGGAGCTTGCTCTGGTCCATCTATGGATGGTTTTATAACAGTGTAAAACAACACATTATAGAAAATAGTGAAAGCAAAGACAGCAACAGCCGTGATTGTAAAGAAAGATCCTGAAAATTCCTGAACTTCTTCATCTTCTGTTTGATCTCTTGCAAAACTCACATCCGGTGCTGCAATTCAGTTGAAAACACTTCTCATCATAAGATCAACATCCCATTAGTTGCCCTATGAAATTACAAATGCTACTTCATAGTTCCTTTGCAACTCTAAGTACTATACAATTCAATAACTGAATTGAGGGACTCAAGTGAAACCCGGGTACAAAATTCGGGATAATTGATGTAATTAATCCTAAACTATATTAGAAAAATACAGTCTTGGACAAGATTAACTTAATTTTAACTGTAATCGAATAATAATCCGGTTTCGAGTAATAGAGTGCAAACGATTAGAAGGGTGGAAACAAATCATGGTCTAGAAAAGTTCATGCATAACTTGCTCTAGTTACATGCTAGGTGCATGACCAAATAAGGTCAATTTCTCCAACATTGGGCATTCATCAAAGAAGCATAAGTTTTCTTTGGCTTTTCATTTTGTTATCTCTGGTTATATAGACAAAGCCATATGTAATTTAAATCACATTAGGATTGTTACTTGGTACAAAAAAAAGTAATTGAAAATTTCAAATATCAGCACATTAACTCATACATGAACAAAAGGCACGGTGCAGTAGAGAAATTGGTTGGAGACAGACAGAGCAACATGATCATCAAACTCACAATATTGCGTACAAAGTGTTTGTGTTTGTGAGAGAGAGAGAGAGAGAGAGAGAGAGAGAGAGAGAGAGAGAGTACCCTTTTGCCTTGGAGGGCGGGCTTGTCTTTGGGAGCGAGATTGAAGCTGCTGGTCAAGATTTTTAAGAGCTTCTCTGGCCTTATCTGGGTCTACCTCAAATTGCTGTGACTCCTTCTCTGCCGCATAAACAATAAAAGAAGATGATGAAGAAGAAGAATTGTAATATGGGTTTGATTTCTTCTTCTTGAAAACACCATTCCCAGGCACTGGCAATTCAGAAATGTGTGTTTTAATAAGTCTGTTTGTGAGAGAAAACGGGTGCAGGGATAATGGTGGTTTATTGTGAAGTGAAACAGAATACAGAGGAAGCATTTGAATGAGATAATAAGAGAAACCACAGCCACACCCACAACTCACAGGAGCTGAACGATAAACCCACCCAACACAGGTTTGGCAGTGAGTGCGTTATTTATTCATTTATTTTCTCCTTTGTTATAAACTAGATTGAATACGAAAGCATCACAGAACAGTGAGTTACATCTCGAATAGATTTTTATAGACCAAGTGTACCGACACATTTCCTTCATCAGTAGTAGTAGTAGTGAAAGTGAACTCAACCACACCAGTCAAAGCGCTGATACACTCGACACTATTTCTGATTTTACCTCTGGGCTCCACTTACGACACTCCTTTTGTTAATTTTCTGATTTAACCCTAAAAAAAAACCTTTGGTTGTACATTAAATCACCAAAAAATAAAAAACACAAAATTAAGTGTTACACGTTAAAATAGAAAAAATACATCATGTCATTGTCATATGCTAGCTAAACTATATATTTCTAAGTGCAGTTAAATTGTAGTAACGATTTCTGAATGATATTAGCTTTGTTTATTTATTTATTTATTCATGAATTCTAATAATAGTTTATGTCATCCTCAAATTAGGTCTTGCGTTGTGCTTTGGGACATTTTCGTCGACTATGTATTCTAATAATAGTTGATGTCGTCCTCAAATTAGGTATTGAGTTGCGCTTTGAATCATTTTCGTTAACTTTGTCTATTTGACGCTACATGGAAGCACGATTCACAGATCGACAAATGTCTAAACCTGAAAAGATAAACTGAAATCCATCAGCAACTAGAATCTAGCATCAAATAGAGAAAAGTCTCTAAATTGGATTAATAATATGAATAAATGTACAAATACAACTGCATAACTTGGCTTAAGTAGAAAAACCAAGAAACCCTAAAACTGTAGGAAGCCCTAGGTTATAAAATATTCCTAAAACTTAGCTAACAAGAAAATTAATAGAAATCCTAGTTAAAATCATATGAAGAAAATAATTTCATAATAGATAACTTATTCTAAAAATATAAAACTTGACATAATCCATAATTGCTTCAAGCTTCCTCAATCAATTAGAAAATCTCGACGATATGCTTTCCTTATTTTCCTAGTGCCATAATTAATGCTTAAGCATTATTTTCCATATTTTAAGCCAAATCTTCTAATTTTGAAATTTTTTTTCTTTTTCTAAATTTCATTCGTATGAACAAGCCCATGTTTTGTCCTACATCGCTATTTTTTCGTCAAAATTGATCATGTGTCATGATATATTTTTAGGGAAAAATATGACTTTTACCTAGCCCCCACCCTCACCATTTTGGAACCCTCCAGGATTGGCTCCGTCATGGCACGATATTGTCCACTTGGGGTTGTGGAGACCACACGCCGAGACGCAACTACCAGCAATGGGTTGGGGCAAAAGCATCTCAAAAACCTGTAAACAAACATAGAAACATAGTTCAATTAGTGGAAGTTAGATTGTCCTTAAGTTGGTAAGGACATGAAAGGCAATGACCAAATTTCGACAAAATAAAAATACAGTGACTAAAATTGAATTCAAGCTAAAATGTGAGAAATTATTGTATGGTATTTGGAGTACGGTTAAATACTTATTGATGTTTACCCAATTCTCCAGCTTTTTTCATTTTATCCTTTCGAATTGTTGATTGGTTTTGCTTTTACTTGCCTTATAATTCAGTACATACGTGATTTTGTTTTTTTCTGTTTGCATCTGGGACTCGGGAGGTATTAGGGTTGGACCGCTGGAGAGATGACAGCCATGGAGATGAGAGTCACGGAAGTGTTTTGATGAGAGAACAGGGGAGGGAGAAAGGGGAAGGGGACTGGGAAGATTGAGCTAATTAAAGATGGAGAATGGGTGATACAGTACAACATATGTTTTTTTAAAAGATACTATAACAATGCTGATGTGGATGAATTAATATCATTAGAACAATCAAATGGTCAAGATTTTAGTAAATGCACACAAATGCACCGATGCTAGATGCAGAGACTCTGAATCCAATACGGTCGGCGGAGTTTATATTTCCCACTTTTAAGGTATAATATAAATATATATTCACTTATATTATACAACGTTAGACAAATTATAACACATAAACGTATTCTACAAAGACACTATAAGTACTCATAAAACACACTAACTACCCAACATTATATGCACGTCTATTGTGTTACCCATTTTTGCTAACATTAAATGCATGAAGATTGTGTTACCAAAGATAAAATTCTTAGCCTAGTGGTAGTTTGTTAGAAGAAATGTCAAATTAAAAATTTTTTTTCTAAGATAAAATATTTAGATAAAAAATTTAAACACAAACACCATAAACTTTTCTTTTATTTTCCCTTTTAGATTTTATTTACAGACTTACAAAGAAAAGAAAAAGAAACAAAAGGAAATCACGTAATATAAGAAGAAGCCAAAAAGAAAAAGAAAAACACAAATTGGCCAAAATGAAAGAAAAGAAAAATACAATTACAAATTACATTTTACATTAATTATTTCCACCAATTTAAACGAAACAGCGCAACCTAATGTAAGGACGTAAATGTAATTTTTATTTTTATTTTTATTTTTTTACTCTCTATACATTTCAGAACAAAACACAGACAGAGAAGCAAAAAAAAACAGAAAGGTATTGAAGAAATGAAGAAAGCAGGAGGGGCAGAGAAGAAAAGGGTGCGAAGGTCATCAGGCGCTATTCAGAACGGCGGCAGAGATTCCAACTCTGATACCCCTCCCAGGGTTTGTTCTCTTTCTCTGATTCTCTCTCATCCTTGATCTAGGGTTTCATCTGTATGAAATACCCAATTGAATTTTGTATATATCTGGGTAATGCAAATTGCTGATTGATTTGTACTACTTGCAATAATGTGTAGTGAAAAGCACTGGTCTTTTTGTTGCTCTGCTGGGTTGCTGAAAAGGGTAGGAGAGGAAACTAGTTGAAAGTTTTGAACATAATGTGTTTAATTGTTTCAGAAATGAAAAATTGTAAATTATAATTATAGGGGCATATTTTGGAACAATTATGACTACCCATTTGGGAAATCGTCACTAGGGTTGGGTCTGTTTCAATGTTATCGAAGGTACTTCAGGGTGCAAGAATATGTTATGGAAAGTTGGATCATTTTGTTGTGTAGGGTAGAGCTTTTGAAATATGTGCGATTTGGTCTGTCCTGATTTTGTGTTTTTGGCATCTTTAGCATAGTGGACAGGCAGGGCTTTTCTAATTAGCAACATGGTTTAGCCTAGAAAAAGGAGAAAAAAATGAAGTCTACTGGGCAAAGGAAAACAGAATGCGGTAGAGCGGAAGAGGCTACTGCAAGATGGATCACAAGATGGTCAATGACCACTTCCTGTTTCTTGCATGAACAATTGTTAGAATTATTTTACCAAGTGTTGTGTGAGCAATGGAGAGTAATCATAGATTAGAACCAAAAAAAGAAAAGAAACCATAGATGGGCTCTAATTCCAGGAAAGCTCTAAAAGAGAAACTCTGACCACGTGCTTTCCTTTGATCACTCTCTACATCTTTACATTAAGTTAAAACAATTCCCAGAGGACATTCCTTTGTAATTAATATCTGAGTCTAGTATGTTTGTATTTTCTACCCAAAGTGGAACTTTTTGAATGTAGGACTTTGAGCCATATCATTGGAGGGAATTGTAAGTGGAGGATTTCAAATTTTTGGCATTAGGATTTCTTATTTATCTTTCAGATACTGTAATTTACTCTAAGCTACAATTAGAATTGAATTCCTTCAACATGATAACTTTGTGTTTCTATTATGTTCTTTTGGCCGAACATGCAAAATATTGGACTTAGATTGTCATAGCAAAACATCTAGTCTTCTAGATATCTTGCAAAATTGAGTTTCTAGGGTGAAAGAGCCTGAGACTAATTCAGAAACAAATTCGTACATAGCTCACATAATGAGATTTGGAGATATTTTGTATTGCAGACTTAGATTGTGTCCTACATGGTGATACTGGCAACAAATTTTAATTTTTTAGTGTGGATAGCTTATGATGCCTTCATCTGTATCACTTGATTATCTCAATCTTAGATAATTATTATTTAGTGGTGGCCATGTTTTGTTTTCTTTTGAATATATATTTTTGGCTTGATGCTTGTTTTTGTCCAATAATGTTTTGGATTTTTTTCTTTCAAGGAAGATATGTTTTGGCCAATTGGTTTGCGTTCTTATAGCCTGCTTGTATTTTTCCTTGTTTTTCTGATTGCCATTTGACTTTCTTTCAGAAACAAGCTATCCAGAAGGATGTGTTCCAGTTGTTTGCAGAGAAGGTGAGAGACCATAAGGATTTGGTGTCTAGGTGGGCTGTTCTACAGGAGACACGTGTGGAATATTTCAGGGGGAAGGATTTTGTAAGATTTTTGAGGAATCATCCTGAACTCAAAGATATTCTAGAATCAGATAGAAATCTAGAAGCTGAAGATATTGCCGATTTTTTACTGGGAAAGAATCTTCTAGTTCGCTGTGATCGTGTGGTGAAAACCCTTCGCCCTGGAAAGAAAAAGTTGTCTACATGGCCTGCACATTTGGAGATCTTTCCAGTAAGTTAACCTCTTAATTGCTTTTGAACTAGTAACTTGCTGCCCTTGCAATTACCAGGCTCCGCCTTCTAGTTTCTCCTTTTCATGTTTTTGATGGACTCCTTTTATATTTGGTGTTCCGTATATTCTACAATCATGACACTGGACAAGGCTTATATTTGGTGAAAACAGTTTGTATAGTATACTTTAGATTGGACAAGGCTTTCTTTTTGTTTGTTCGGGACCGGTTAAGATGAATAAATGGGGCTTTTCTGTTTCAGTATATCTGCTTTGTCCATGTGCTCATGGTCTTCATGATCATGCTTAGACTATGTACATTTACTTTATACTTGTATTCATGTGGTGATAATGTTGTGTCCTTTTTACTTTCACCTTAGATATCTATGTTCTTGTTTTATACTGTTTATGCTATATTCATAATTTCTTGAAATGAGATTATCTTTTTCACTTTGTATGCATGTGTGAACCAGAATTGTTTTTGTGCTTCTTTGTAAAACTTTGAAACTATGAAGGTGAAATAACTTAATGGTGCCATCCAAAGTGTAATGAAACTTATCCTTTGAGTAAGTTTATTAATATTTTAACCCTCTCTTTCTGTGTGCTATGCCTTCTCTTCATGTATTCTTTTAAGCACCACACACCAAATTTAGTAATTCCTTGACGTCTTTTGCAGGACCAAGTATTTTCTGAGAATGACGCCTTCTTTGCATGGACTTTTGTTAAACGGCGGCCTCTCTGGCAGACGCTTCTCTCATTTTTCTGGCCGGTGGTGACATTGGCAATTTGCTTGTTTCCTGTATATCCCCATCGGTGCAAGCTACTAATACTCTACTCATGTCTCGGGGTCCTTCTACTGTTTCTTTCTCTACTTGTTTGTAAGTTCTGAACTTCTGGGCTTATGTCTTCGTTGTGAACCGTGAAATTTTTTCATTTAAAATCTTATTATTTAAAGATGATGTGGATACTTGTAAAAAAAAACAATTAGGTTTATACCTTTCACCCCTATTTAAAAAGCTGCACCATTTTATCACACTTACACCTTTGTTATAGCAAAAATTCTGCTCACTAGTCATGTTTTGTACATCCAAATTGGCGTTTATATTGGTTAGAGGTTGTTTAATTTATTTAGAAAAGTCAGGCTGTATTAGAGTCAGTGACATGCTTGTACAACTATTCCTATAGGTTTAATAGGATACGTAGATGTAGTTACGTTTAGTACTTTGTTGCTTAATACTATTTTGTCAATGCATTCAGTTCCTTATTCTTGTTAGAAAATGACTACACCATCATTTAAAGAGTGTCGCCTTTAATTCAAGATAGGCATGAATTTCTGGAATTTTCCTTTTCATTAAATTCTGAATCTAGTAGATTATCCTAAGTCTGCAGTATAAATGGGGAACATGGAAAGTACTCTTACTCTGATAGCATTGCTAGAAATATAGCTAGTTATTTTTTAAGGCCCAGGTACTAGCCCAAGTCCAGCAGAGTTTCTTAAGATCAGGGTTGTAACTAAATAGGACATACCACCACCTCTGCATTATGGATTATGCTGTTTGTTGTCCCTTTCACCTTTTGTGAAGTGTTTCTTGCCTATTTATGAGGATCAAATTATTGTACGAGGGACTATCTTCTTTTTTTCATTTTTTTTAACCCTCCTCTGTGAAAGAAAGTCAATGCTACTTTTCAATGATCTCCAGAAACTTTTATTGCAGGTTTTCAGCAAAATGCACAGTTGCTAGTTAGCTTGTATTGTTTTTAGGATTCCTTGGCTACCAATGTTTTTTCCATTTCTCGATTGCAAAGTATTAGTAAATAATTTGCAGCCTTTTGCCTCTCTACAGTCTTATGACATTTATTGTTCAAGAATCTTGCATCTTACAGTTTTCGATGTTCTGTACTGAAAGCTCTCAGACTTGAACCTATATAAGCTAACAATTTCTTTTATTTGATGTTAGTGTCTAAAGTCAATGTCAATATACCTTTAAGACTCTAGTGAGTTCTAGTTTAAATGGAATTGGGATGGGGTGGGGATGCCATAGATCCTAGGTTCAAATCTTATTCTTTGTTTAAGTATAGTTGCACACATATTATAAGAGTCCCATAACTACTGCTTACAGTTACAGTTGTTTTTATTATCTGGATTTGCCGTCATCTTGGCCTAAAAGACTTCAAAATTTCTGTCTTGCAGACTTGCATATCTTTGTATTGATTATCATCTTTCGAGTATTCATTATATGTGCATTTAGAAACCTCAATAATTTTTTTAAAGATTTTGAGTTGACTTCGAGCTTCAGTTGGCTTTTTCTGTGATCTTGTAGTTCCTTTATTTTGTATTAAATCTCAAGATTCCAGAGTTATTTGTGCAAATAATTATTCTTGTAATGCTCTGTTCCCTGTCATATTCAACATAAACATAATTATTTTTTTGTTTCATTTTCTTAATTTCCAGTGAGGGGTGCAATATTTGGAGCTCTATACATTATTTTGGGGAAGCGAGTTTGGTTTTTCCCGAACATTCTCGCCGAGGAAGCTACTTTGAGAGAATTGTTCCGTTTCTGGCCCAAGAAAGATGAGGAGGAGCGACCAAAGTGGACAACACGAGTTTTCTATGCGGCAGTTGGAGTGCTGGTCATATTGCTACTGAGGCATCATGCTCCTGATGAAGCTGCTAGAGCCAGGTGAGTTCTACTTCTACTAAATATACCATAATGGCATTTGACGGCTTGAGGCTGATCTTCTGGCATGCTATACTACGAGGTTAAAGTCACATTATTGCTTGGAGGGACAAATTGTGGCTGGCTAAGCATGATGAGATTTCAAAATTTTCAGATCTAGAATAATTTGAATACCTTTTCCCTTTATTTGTGATCATTTGTTGGGATCCTTAATGCGGATCTTTTGCTCTATGAGTGCAACACACTGCATTGCCTGATTACTTGCCAAACCAGTTCTTTGCTTTTTGGCCTTGCCAAACGTACTAATAGTGAACTCTATATTCTTGCAGGTATCAGAAACGTGTATCAAACATAATTGATGATGTTCTTGAGTGGTCTCCAAGATTGGCGCTTTCTGGGATGATGGAGAATCTGCAACCAGTAGCTAATGCGACAGAGGCAAGCAATGCAACTGAGGAAGGTGTGACACCACCTGATGGCATGGGTGCAGAAACTGTCACAGAGCAGCATGAGGCAGAAGTTAGTGAAAATCTAGAGAACAGTGATGAAAACCTAGACAATAGTGAGGAAAACCTAGACAATAGCGGTGAACAAAAACATGATATATGATTATAAATTATGCAATACCTAAAGAACACATCGCATTCTCTTTACCCCTTGTCTTTAAATTCGAGTGTAAAACAATGTATCAGACAATAAAGCAGTTAGTTAGTGCTCTTTTTGTCGGATTTATAAAGGTCCATTAAGAATCTGTGTGAGAAAAATTTATAAAGTTTAGTAATTGACTCCTTAAGTGGGGATTGTTTTGGGTTTGCAGATTGCAAAGCATCATGTATACTGGTACTATGGAGATAGAAAACTAAGGAAGTATTATTTTTCTATTTCCAAAACTTTTCCTACATTTTTCTTATAATAAATTCAAAATAATTGAAAAGTCTCCAATTATAAAAATGATTCTAAGAAATAGGTCTTGTTTTTTTATATATTCCGATGTACACCAGCTGGCTGATGCACCTCTCGTTAGGACAATTATATGCAATTTAGCCCACCATTATAACAGGGTAGCCAATCATGATTCGATTTTAATACTAATCTAAAATCGGATCTGATTACATTTGAACTTCGCTGAAGTCTGCACATGCCTCAAGCATGCAGGAGAATAATCCACATATGAAAACAAAAGAAACCCCAATATGTCGCCAACCACACAGCTCAAATTCAAGGTGACAAACATAATACACACGATGGTTTATACATTAAACTAGAGTACTATTCGTTTAAATTTCAGTTTTCCATATGTACTTCAAATTACTGAAAACTACTCTGTACATCAGGCAAAAATAAGAAGGATGTAATGAACTCAGGCATCAAAGGACTTCACAGAATCCAAATGGCCCATTCATATCACTCTCCTTCCATTCATCTATGCCACAAGCACAAGAACAAAGCCAAGAATGAATTGCCGCCTGGCAAACACATTGCCAAAGATATAACCAGGTGATTGACCCTTTTTCTGTTATAAGGGTCCAATCCTCCACCTTGGCATCCACCTCCCAGGGGTTCACTGGATGGCAAGACGCCTCTGTGAGGCCTGATTCGAAGAAATGCTTCCCCGTTGCTGGCCTGTACAATCTCCTTCTTCCCCTCTCTTGCCCGAGTATGAAGGATACATCGAAGCCTGCAAGCCACCATGAGTCTGGAAGCAGCCACTGCCATTTGCATAATTGTGAGCTGAGTACGCGTCATGCACTTGGGACCCTCTTCCTTCTTGCTGACTATTGGAGGAATTCCATGTTTCAGCAGAATCTGAGGGAAAGGGTTCTGAACCTGATGAACTGCCAGATTGTGACGAGTGGGCTGGACCAGAGCCTGTGCCCTTTTCTTGGCCAGTGCTGTTTGATTTATCACCATTAGTTTTCTTTGCAAAACGTCCTCCAGTACCTCTCGCCCTTCTCATAGCATGTTGATGTCGTGATTCATGAAGATATGGCTGTAGAAAATGAGAATTAATAAGTTACCAAAGTCAGCTAGGCTTATAGATACATTCATGTTTAATATAAATACCAACACTAACAATTTGAGTTGGAATTCTTTAACCGAAGTATCATCACACCCACACATATATATTATATACTACTCATCTCCCCCAAAAAACCAAATCTACAACTGTTTATCCTCTGCCTCTTACAACAAACATCCTATGGTTATTGTAAACAGTAATCTCACAAGAAGCCGATCAGACAAACACAGTTACTAAAATGTTACCAAATATCAATAACACAATCGTTGAACTACTTCATAGTAAACTCAATTGTAATCAGCACTAAAATGTATATTTATCCCTGTTACGTGATTATAAAATCAATTATAATCAACACTAAGGGATAAAATTTGAGCATGCAAATCTTTGATTGGTAAGAGAGAGAGTAGAAAGTCAAATAAGTTCATGGAAGCAATAGAGACTAGAAAGTGCGCAAGTCAAATAAGTTGTTCCTGATATGGAGGGTATATCAAAACCCAAAAACTCATATGTACACCAACTTTGTAAGTTTCCATGCTATGCTCACAAGTGAGCACATCACAATATTGGAACCAACTTCTTAAGCACGTCGCAGTGTGTAAGCTGAAAATTTTCAAAGCTCATTGCACACGATCAGAAGTCTTCAATTAAATTGTGATTATGTCAAAGTCAATACTTCCTATTAGCCAGAGAGAACAGACTCAATGCATACAGTCTGAAGAGATGGGATTAGAAGTAGAAATATAGGCGTGTGAGCACGACGACTCATACACATCACATTCACAACACATATATGAAATAAAACATGTATATTATAGCGTTAAAGGCTTTGTGTCTGCAAGTTAAATTTCTACCTTCCTGACTTTAATTAGCTTCCTTTCAAGTTCTGCTTTTGCACGTGCCTGTCTTCGCCTTAGAATCCCTTGGTATTGTTTTGCATTCACATACACAGGCTCCTGTGCCATCTCAAGAGGCAATGGCATTCTAGCATGTGGCATTCCAAGAAAAGGAGGATAGCCCTAACCAATTGAAACAGATGTTCAGCATTACGTACATATCAAGATATTTACTACTGTTCACCTTCCAAATCCACCCCAGAATAAGTTCATATCATACCAAAGAAACACAACTTGAAAGGGCTGAAAATTATAACTAATCTTTTTTATCACCAGCACCACCGTGATGTACGACAACACAAAGCGATCTTTTGATGTATGACTACACAAGGTGATCTTTTGCCCAGGACTGTGGTAGGCTTTATTTCAGTCGTCAAAAAAGTTCAGGGAAAAAAAATTTAGGCCTGCTGTAATCTTAGACAAATTAGAGAGATATAGAAATAAAAGGGAAAGTGCAGACAGAGATATCAAGGCACCAAGCCTTTCAACAACACTTCACTTCATTTATCCAAAATCTGATTTGCTTTAGAATTGTAGTCTTCAAAGAGAACTCCCATAGACTCCAAGAAATACCCAGACTTGTAATAGATACTAGAAACTCAAGAAATAGTAGGAGACTGTAAGCAAACTTAGACATTGAGTATTTCCAAGACCCAAACTAAACCGATTCTTAATAACAGTCGACACTAACTCTTCAATTGACCTTTAAACCTAGTTATTTTATAGTTTTACCAATTCAATTCTTGTATGATGGATATTTCTCTTTAGATAAAAAGGTTTTAAAATTGGATTTTTGCCAACAGGCTTTGGGCTTTCAAAGAAGATCGATATCTTGGCAAGTTGTTGCTAGTGCTTCACTCCCGCCATATTATCATCATTATCATTTTCCTATAAAGTAAGATGTAAAAACATGCAGCATATGGACAATGTGGGATTTGGTTAATAAGGATAATGGAATACCAAACCATAGAAGTAGTAAGAAGTAAATACTTGCTACAAAGAGAAATTAAGAAAAACCACTAGTATCCTATCAGTAATATTTTAAACTTAAAGCTTCAAATTCAAACCCCGAAAGACCATACCAAAACTTAGATTTCAGCTACTAATAACAGAATGCAGCAACTTCAAAGGAAAAATTATCCTTTCCTCATTTACCCAATCAGACCAAATAATTTCCCCATCCAAAATGTTAACTGGATAGGATCATAGGTGACCTAAGTTACAAGTCCTGATAAACCTCAACTACCCATCCCCCTTTCACTACCATCACAAATATGATAAACATCGTTGATATTTTTGTTTTGATAAGAAACAATAAAGGGAATTTAAATACTCCTACCAACAACCCTTGAAGTTGTTTAGAGATATAAAATAGAAATATAATTATTGTTTAGAGAGTGGATAAGGGAAGTATGATATCTGCATAAACTCTATCATTGCATCACTGCACAAAAGATAATATCATACAAATCCAACATTGCATGTAGAATTCTATTACACTCAAGGATATTACTGTTTAACATACCAAAGGCTGATGTCCATAAGATGCCATCATTCCCGCATAATAAGGATCCTGATAAGGATTTGAAGCACAAGCCTACAAAACAAATGCGGGAAAGGTAGGAATCTTACATTCCAAAATCATGCAAGTATAAGTGCCCACTTTTAAATTAAAAATTACAGAACCTTGTTCAACATTTGACGAACTATCAACGGAGTTGCACCATGCAGGAGGCAATAAATCTTGGAACAAAGTAAAATGAACTTACAATAGAGTGACCAACAAGCTCAAGCTGTGGCGGTTGCGCAAGGCAATCATCACGAACTGTAGGTACAGTAGATCCAACATGCGGCACATTTTGGCGCTCTTGCCCGTCATTGCCAGCTGAAGTTGAAATAAAATATTAAAACGTGAAACCAACAAAGAGGTGAAAAAACATTTATACCAAATCACCAGATATTGTAGGAATTGTTACCTGATCTTGGAGACGTAATCTGTGACTCTTTGGTGGCACCATCATCATCATCTTCATTTGGCTCATCATTGGACAATGATCGATCGTCATTGGACTCCGAACCACCATTTGGGCATTCTAACGAAGATGAGTTGGATGTATTCCTCCCTGTAACGGCTGGGGAGATGGGGTTATAGCCAACACCCCGCCACCACGGTTCTGAATAAACACTGTTTGGTGGGATGGTATGATGATCAGCATGAAGTCTATTTTCAGTTTCAGACTTTGACTGCATGCCTCAAATATCCTTAGATAGACACCAACTCTTAGTTCTATATACAAGAGAATAAAAAAACAAAAATCCAAGTCAGTGATCAAAATATGAGAGTTCCTCTTAATGTATAAGAAACATGCAGCCACAGACAAGACCACAATGGATGGAAAATAAAATAAAGTTACCAAACATTTATACCAAAATCTCCTCTTTCCCCCTCTTGAGAGCACAATCAAACTTTGACCCGAGAAACAGTCAAATTCCACAAAACCAAAAGATACCCAAAACACAATTCCATGCCATAACCACATAGACAGAGAGAACCAAATCATAATCCCTAAAAAATCAATACATTCCACACAAAAAAACCCCCAATTCTTGAAACCCTAGAAATCAACCACACAAATAAATTCCAATTTTATAATCGAAAGGTCAAAATTCGAATTTTTTAAAATCAAATAAAATCTTAGAGGGACTTACTTGCCGAGAGAAAAAGCCAATCACAAATAAAAACCCTAGATTTTGGGCCTCGGAATCTCACAATTTCTCTGCAATTCCATATAATCTCACAGTATATAACTGTACTAGAAGAGCTCCCCTATTTAAATTCCACATCCAAGGTTATGATTTCGTCACCCACCTCGGGACCCACTTAATTGCTCTAGAAATTTTGTTTTGAGACACGTAGACACTACTGAACCGCGAACTTGTTAGACCGGTTTTTTGGTACGCTAGAGTTTTCTCAAGGAGAGGAGAGCTGGAGCGTGTGAGAACCGGTTCCCGGTTGTAAAAGTGACGGTATCGAATGGGTTGGGGCCCACCCGGGTGAGGTTATCACAGAAAATCTTACCAGAAAAACATAAACAAATTAAAAATATTAGACGGCCCACGTGACCCGTACCCGAAGGGCAAAGAAGTGGGAACGCGTGGCGTAATGGTGGGGACCACAGCGCTGGTGCATCGCCAGCAGCGTTAGCCACGTGTCCTTTAAAATTTGACGTTTTCTGGGAAGAGTATGAAGGCAACCAGAGAGCTGTTTTGGCTTACCTGTTGGTGAGGATTGTGAGTTCCACAGCCAATGAACAATTAAGCTTTGGCATGAGTCATCACTTCAACCCAAAAAAAAAGGTAAATGGAATTTCAAATGGGCCAGGTTAGGTCCATCTTCGGCCCAGACTGTAATTAGTCAAAATTCAATTTGTTGGTCCAAAGCCATTTGGGCTCAATGGATCATTGGGTCGAATACGTCCGAAAACTAACCTAGTGCGATTTTTGAGGTTGGGCCCAAGACGGGCTTGGGCTAAAATTGCTGGCTCAAGTCTATAAATAAGGTCCTCGTTTTTTTGTTTTGGTCTTCTTTTTTGTCGATTTTTTGTTTGGGTCTATTAGTGAGATTTTTTATGTTTTTAATTAGGGTTCAAAATGTATTCACAATTGCAAAATAATGTAGTGAAACTAGAATTTGCATGCATTACATTATGAAGATGAATATTGGATGGTTATTAAATTAACAAAAGAAAAACAAAATAAAATCAGGAACCCCAAATTTTAAAAAATAAATAAATAATAGCATGGGGTCCGGGTCCCGACTATTCAAAAGCAACGAATTTAAACTGTACATCATTTAACTTAATACTCCAAGTTAAAAAGTTAACTAACTGGTTATTGATTTAGTGGTATTTCTCTTTTTACTTTGTTAGAAATACTCCAAGTTTAAATCTCCCTTGTTCTCATTAAAGAAAACGAAAACTGAAAATTTTACAACAATACGTTATTAACTTCATGAACAAATTGTCTAAGATAAAACCAGGCTCGTGCTCCTAAACCCTAGTTAAGTGGTGACATGATCTATGTGATGTGAGGCAAGCTAATAATACAAAGTTGCAAATCATTTAAGTTTCATGAGCAGCTGTTACAGTCAAGTATAAAGTTTGAGTGCTAAATTTTATGTTGCTTTGGTCTAAAGGTCCAAAGCAATCTTAGGTTACTTTGTGTTGCTTTGATCTCTTTTATAAATAAATTCTAGTTGGGGGCAAGCATCGGCCCCCTCCCCATGCTTTGCTCTTTATTACATGGCCTAAGCAAAGTTAAGACAAGATTGATGGCACAAATTTTAGCAAATGATCTTTATAAGGATATATTTTAGTTCATTTCTGTATTTTGTTTAGTATTTTTATGTCATAATTTACAGATTTATGATGTTCGGCATGTGTTTCATGAAACGAATATGGTTATTGGTTCTCTTGCTAATTTGAGTCATCAACAACAAAATATGTGTTTGGTTCATAATATCCCAAGTGTGATCATTGGCAAACCTAGGAATTTTTCAGGGGATGTGCAATTTTTAAAGGCTAAAAGCTCCAAAAAAAAAGAAAAAAAAAGAAGAGGACAACTGAAAAACAACCCATGTTTAACAAATCAATATCAAATTATCAATTAAATAAATAAATTAAAACTTAATTATACCTCGAATCGTACGTTGCGCAGCTGCCTCCTCCTCGAGTTTACTATTGATCTTACTAATACAAAGAGAGCTAAATAAGAAAGAAAAACAAATATTATTAAAAAAAATGAATATACAAAATTGGTGTTTGCTCGAGAAGAAAAAAATATGCATCTGACTTACTTTGGATTGGGTACTCAAGAAAGAAAAAAAAATAGGATTCTTGTGATGCACGCACATTTGATAAAGTTGGGTGATGTTAAATTGGACTTTATAAAGAGAATTCTCAATCCCACTTAAATAAGGAATTGTGCAAGCCTTGTTAAAACCCAATTAAATAAAGAGAACTCCCAATCCCACTTAAATAAGGAATTATGGAGGCCCTATTAAAAGCCCACGAAATGTAAGATTTCCTTTTTTTTTTTCCAAAGCCTGGTCCAAAACAATGTCATTTTGGCCATGATTTATCAAAGCGCGCAAAAAGACAAGTTCTCTTAGGCATTTAGTCAAACACCTACATTGCAACTCCATGGCTGAGTAGAGGTACAATATGTAGCACCTTTGATGACTTTTTCGACAAGAAAAGATGCAACTACACCTCCTTATACCTTAATATGTCCACCACTGAATATAATGACTATGTGAGACTGTCATTTGATCAACCACTGAATATAATGACTATGTGAGACTGTTATTTGATCAGAGGAATGTCATCCCTCGGGGATTCTCTTTGTCATTTGTCTTTTGTAGTTCAAAAAAAAACAAAGGGGGACTATAATGTCCATAAACTTATAGTTATTGGCAAACAAAAATACATTACCTAGGAATTAACAAAAGCAACGTTAAAAATAATATATATAAAAAACATTATAAAAGGCAACCTTAATTACTTCCCGACCATTTGAGTGTAACTGTGTAAGTACTCTTTTCAGATTTCTATAATTATCAACAAAGTGCTTGAATAAGCGTCGGCCCGCCCTCCAAATGCTTTTGCTTAGGACATGGTTAGACAAAAGATGGCACACATTTTAGCAAATGGTCTTTCAGGTACATGTCAATTGTGCATATTCTTTAATTTGCACCATGCTTTATTTTTTATTTTTTATGGCATGCATGGGTTTGGCCACCAAGTTTCATTTTCTCACTCTCTTTTCGTAACAGTATCAATCAAGAAAGTAGAATTAGAGAGAGTCAAATAAGATTTTCATTATATGTTCTCTGAATGTATGAGAATGAGAATGGAAAAGATTCAGTGTTGTGAAAAAACAAATATTCACCCGAAAATTATCATATACTCTTTTTATATAAAGGATTCAAAGAGTGCATGATGACTTTTTTCGAGTGCCTAAGAACTGAACTTATGACAAGTGGAAATAGTTTAAGGTAGTGTGAATATGATATAATTTTTTATTTTTGAATGAAAAACAATTACATTCTAAGTTGTTTAATCTTGTAGAGTTATGTTAGAGCGCTCGATGGAACATATATTAGAGTACATTATTTCACCAGGTAACAAGCCTAATCGAAGTAAGAAGAATGAGATTGCTATAAATTTCTTGGGAGTATGCTCACAAGCTATGCTATTCATGTATGTATCATCCTCATAAGTGAGTACTAGCATCAACCATTGCAAACTGTTGTAGCTGTGTTTATGAAGAAAATATCCTACAGTCAAATCCTTCCCCGCAAATAAAAGCCAGAGTTTTATAGGAAGCTCCAATTCTTAAACCTAGCTAAGTGGTAGACATAACCTATGTGAAGAAAGCTAATAATACAAAGGTTGCAGTACAAATGATTGAAATTTCATGAGCTGTTGCATTCAAGTAAAGTTGAGTGCTAAATTTCATGTTGCTTTGGTCTAAAGGTCCAAAGTAATCTAAGTTACTTTGTATTGCTTTGATCTCTTTTCCAAATCAACATAAGTTGGGGGGCAAGCATATCGGCCCCCTCTCCATTCTTTGCTTTGTACAAGGCCCAAGCAAAGTTAAACAAAAGATCGGTTGCACAAAATTTATTAGAAAATCTTTTTTGTGGGGCTATATTCTAATTAATTTGTGCAATGGTTCCCACATCAATCGAGAAAATTAGTAGTAAACAAAAAGTGATTTTGTTTTTAATATATTAGGTTACTATGTTGTTATGCATTTTAATATATTATATGACAACATATATAGTATATATTTGTCTATCCCTTACAATTTTTCTTGTTGAGTATGTATTTGTCTATCCCGTATTGCAATTGTGACCTTCTATTGGTCAATTTTTAATTTTATTTGATTACTTTGAAATTATTGCCCACTTTGTTTCGATTTATAAGTTTGAGAAGATGTTCATACTTATTTCAATTTAAATTTAGTTCATATATGTTTTTTCATTATCAAAAGATTTTCAAAAGAATCAAAGCTTGAGTTTGCGGATAAAGGATTTTTCAGTTACATATATTGAGAAATAGTATAGATGACAAAGCTATTATGCAACGATTTCAAAATATGAAATTCGTCGAGAACAATTATAATTGTAATGAATTTGCAGTATGATTTTTAGTATATGTTGGAATCAACAAAAGCAAACATTAGTT